CTTCCAAAGCGTAGCGTCGTCGCCTGAGGGTGGATTTACTGGTGATCAGCTCTGTGTGGCTAATATTGACCCGAGCGAGTACTTCAATTCCTCGGCGAAAGACGATAAGCCCGAGCATGCCGCCAAGGATAATGGCGGCTTCGGCGATATCATCGGAAGCAGTTATTTCTCGGAGGAGGAGATGAAGAACGGCGGTTCAGGTGCAGTTATCGCTGCGGAGAATTTGAGCCGGAGCCGTGAAGGACCTCAATTAGACGAAGATTCTTGGTGAGTTTGAACTCCGAACATCACCTCATAAATTGGGGTTTTTGTYCATTCAGTTGAACTGTTAAATTTTATTTACTTGGATTATTGTTTATCTTTTTTGAGTTGTTGGGTGGTGCTTAGAAATTATTTTATGATGGTAAATTCTGAATTCTTATGGGAAAGTGAGAAGATTAAAGAAAAAGCTTCTCTCTAAAGTGATCCTTATATAATATGAAAAAGAAATTGTCCTTTCAGTTTGGTGGTTTCCTAGGGCTCTCTTCATTCAAGTTCTGTYTTTCTTTTTCTTTCCTTTTTTTTTTTAACTCTCAAAAGAACAAGATATTCCCAAAAATCCCAATTGGCATGCATTAATAAGAAACAGAGAGTAATTACAAAACCCTTTTAGAGATTGCTCCAATTTGACGTGACAAAATGACAAGGTCAACAAAGTCATAAAAGATTCTTCTTTTTTCTCTCCTTTTTAAAAGTTCCCATCACTAGCAATCATCATATTGTACCAGAAAAACTAGCTTTCCTTTTGAAACTGTGGCCAAGGAAAGAGGTTGTTCCAAGAACTGGATTTGTACAGAGGAGTTCAGAGCTTGTGCGAGAATTAGATGGTGATTAGATGTTCCTTTAAACAGACAATGAGGGCGAGAAAACGACACGAAACTAAGATGACAATTGGAAAGAAGAGGTGAAGGAAACAATAAGCATTATACTATACACTAACCTCATCTGTATTGTATTGGATCTAATATCTAGAAGTGCAAGAATCTGTTTCTGAGTACTGAATTGGTAGGTTTCCGATTCTTGAAAAACGAAATCTTGTGAATCCTTTGTTCCTGTAGGAGCATTTTCTGAACAAGTAGTATGATCAGTCATGGTTTTTTCTTTTTGTTGTTGTCACCTGCCAATAAAGTAGCAATCGATTAGGGATAGAGTGCATAGAACGGGAAGTTTTTAAACCGATATGACGGTTTCTTGTCATTGCAGCCATTCCAGACTTTTTAGCAAGGCATTGGAAGTCATTCCATCTTTAGAAAATTTTGCTTTATATTCTCCATTTTACACCCCACCCCCCTCCCCCCCTTTCACACCATTTGATAGAGTAACATTACCATTCTATAGTTAAGCTCATAAACAATATTATTCCATAGCTGATTTACTCTACCTTTTCATTTTCCCCAATATCAGAGTTATAAAGTCTCAACTTGTGAAAATTCCTTCTCATGGCTGCTTGCTCTATTATTGAAAGTGAGCCTAACGCAAGTTGTTATGCAATTCCTTACCTTTTATTGTCTAATGTAATAATATAATATATGAACAGCAGCATATATATGATCATGACTGAAGTGTTTTGGGAGCGAAAATAAGTAGAAAACACAACAGGTTATGTAGATAGATATATATAGTTAAGCATAATATTGAGTGATTTGAACTCTTCTGAAATGGAACTATTTGGTCGCTTTGATTCCAGCTCGACTTCGGATGGTGGTGATGACATTGTAAGCACAAAAAAAACTTTAAATCACAAGAGAAAGAGAACGACGAGGTCGCTTGAGGTTTTTGTGGAAAATTTGGTAATGAAGGTAATGGATAAACAGGAGCAGATGCATAAACAGTTGATAGATATGATAGAAAAGAAGGAGAAAGAGAGAACAGTCAGAGAAGAAGCCTGGAAGCAGAGGGAGATCGAAAGAATCAGAAGGGATGAGGAGTTAAGAGCCCAAGAAACAACTCGCAGTTTAGCGGTTATTTCCCTGATCCAAAATTTGCTGGGCCATGAAATTCAAATCTCCGCACCAGTTGAAAACCAATGTACAGAAGATGATGGAGGTGAAAGCAGCATTCAGAAGGAACTAAAAGGTGATTCAAGTAGTAGGAGATGGCCTCAGGCTGAAGTACAATCCTTGATATCTCTACGAACGTCACTGGAACATAAATTTCGTGCTACAGGCTYGAAAGGATCTATTTGGGAGGAGATATCAGTTGAGATGAATAAGATCGGTTTCAACCGCTCAGCAAAGAAGTGCAAAGAAAAATGGGAAAATATGAACAAATATTTCAAGAGGACAGTTGGAACTGGGAAGGCTAATTTTGCAAATGGTAAGACATGTCCATACTTTCAAGAATTAGATGTTCTTTACAGAAATGGTGTGGTRAATACTGCAGCTGTCTTTGATAATACAAATTCTGAAAATAAGCCCAAGGCTGAAAAAAGTATAGATCTTCTCCATGAGAATGAGGCCTTCATATAAAAAGGAGACCTTGGACATGATACAATTTTAAAGAGGCACATGTACACTACAGATTCCTTCGGTCGGGTTTTTAGCAGCCRAGATTYCTGATAATGCAGTTTCGTAAGTTCACCCTCAGTCCATTCATGGATGCTTGCTCGATCCCCGTGGATGTTGATGTTTCGGACAATTGTGCTCCTACGATAACGCTACCAAATGCCAACTTTTCAGTTGAACATTAGCAGGAAATGGAACTCTTGGATCAAAGTCTCTGACCTAATGATGCATGGTGGTTGAAGACAGACATATCATATATTCTTCTCATGGATTTGTTTAGATTTGCTACTTATGTTCACTGGTTAATTCAATCAGTTAGTTTGTAACCAGAACCGAGTTGATATTGGTCCTCTGTTTTCTTTGATTGATGTCATTTCATGACATCTACCGATTTGTTGATGAGGTTTCTACTTGTAGTTGTAATTTGAAAAGTCATTACAGTATTTGTTGATTTTTGTTTGAGATAAATTATTACTCCCTTAAATTATTATTATTGTATTCTTAAAACATTTAAAATCATTATAATGCTAGTTTCAATTATTGTAATGCTAATTKCAATTGTTGAAACCCATTTTTTCTATGAATATAGTGGAGAAAGTTGCAAAATATTCACTCATTGAGCAAGGTTCAATTTTAGTAAAGTTGTTATCTTGCATGGGTTAAAATTGTAGATTTCATGGGTTAACTATGCTTGGTGAGTATGCCAAGGAAATCAGATACTAGAAATTCAACTTAAATGTAAATAGATTTCCTCATACTTGGGCTTAAATGTAAATAATTCGTCATACTTTAAAGACGGGCTAAAACTTCGGAATAAGCCTTTTCGAGTTGTTTGGAGAATCAACATACTTATATGGTCTAGCATCCTTCTCCATTGCCTCGGATGAACATGAATATAGATGTATGCTGAGAACGTAGTAAATAGACTAGAATCGGGGTGATTCTTAGATATCAATGTGGTGATTTAAAAGTAAGAATGACTAGGATTTACTCAACTACTGATTGTTGAATGTCTTGCGATAAAGAAAGAACTTCTATTAGTAAGTCATTTAGGCATCCAACAAATTTCTGTTCAATTTCAATCACAAATGGAGAGTTGATTGCTAAATGAGACAACAATCGTGGAAGACATTAGAGCTCTCGTTTGTTGTTCAGAAAGAATTACTTTCATGGATGTAAATTGTAATACAAACAAGTTTACTCACAATATGGTGGCGAAAACTATGAAGGAAGCTTTAAAAAAATTAAATAATAAAAAAAAAACTAATTGATGAAAGAAATACTGATTTCAATTAATATTTCTACAAAATCCACAGTTCAATAATTCCATTGCATCAAATATCCAATAATAGAGAAGTGAAATTAATTTCCACGTATATCTATATTAAAAAAAAAGTTTAATTCATCCCCCTTTAAAAATCCAGCTGTAAATTGGACTTTCTTAACAAAAAGTCCTTTTGAAACAAAAGCATCACATTAAAAACGTCACCATTTCATCTCAGTTTTCCCGCCAATAAAAACCCTACGATTATTTGAATTCAGACAGCGCCGAACACAGAGCTGCCAGAAGCTGCCACGTGTCTACCCTTTTTCAAAAACCAATCTCTTCTCTCCATCTTCTCCAATTCAAAAAAAAAAAAAAAACCCTAAAAATGTGCTGAACTGAATCAAACGCTCCAAAATCCAAGTTCTTCGAAGCTCTGTTAATTGATTATCTTCCTCAAACAATCTCCAGCTTTCCATCCATGGCGTCCGTCATCAAGCCCTCTTCGCGCTACAGTTCCTACGATGTGCGCTCTTCTACTTCCTCCCATTTCTCCGACCCCTCTACTTCCTCCGAGTTCAAGCTCAAATCTCCCATGGCGGCGAATTCGTCGTCTTCGTCTTCGCGCGCTCTTGTCAAGAGCAAGGCGTCTGATCTGGCTAGAGCTAAATCGAAGCCGTCGGATCAGAACCTGACGGCGATGGTGAAGAAATTCATGGAGAAACGCTCGGCTTCGAAGCCGAAGACGGCGAAGCACGCGACGGGGTTGGTGATTCCGTCGGATTTGATTGCGGAGGACTTGAAGAAGACGGCTAGGAAGGGGACCAACTTCGGTGGGCTGCATAAGAAGCTGTTCGGGAAGGGGAGTGCCGCGGTGGAGAAGAAGGAGAAGAAGGAGGAGGTGAAGGCGTTGACGGAGGTGAAAGGGAATACGAGGACATTGGCGATGGTGCTGAGGAGCGAAAGAGAGCTTTTGAGTTTGAATAAGGAGCAGGAGTTGGAGATCACTGAGCTCAAATTAGTTCTCGAGGAGAAGTACAGAGAGGTGATAATACAGATTACGTTTTTTGGTACTTTTCATGATTGGGTTTGAACATTTCTATAGCTGGGTTTTGAGTGTTTTGTTTAGATGAAGAATAAACCAACACGGTTGCTTGTTGTTGCTTGTTGTTGTTAACAGATCGAGAAGCTGAAGGATTTATGTTTGAAGCAAAGAGAAGAAATAAAGTCATTGAAGAATGCAATATTGTTCCCAGATGTTATGAATTCTCAGCTTCAAGAGATGCTTGAAAAGCAGGACTCAGAGTTGAAGCAAGCCAAACAAATCATCCCTACTCTACAAAAGCAGGTCACCRCTCTCACTGGCCAGCTTCATTCCCTCGCCGAGGACCTTGCCGAGGTACGGAAAAAATTCGTATTATTTTCAAGGATATATCTGCAAATGTAACTTTCTATTAACRAACATTCTTCAAAAGCATYAGTAGTGAAACCTGGGAAATGGGAAGACTCTGTTTGGATGATCACCAAGGACTTTGTCGAACCGATTAAACCCAGCTCWGCTCTAGCCYTTGAAACCTTTCATTTCTTTGATTTGAACTATGAAATTACTGCTTAAGTTAACACAGCCTCTAATGAAATTTGGACTTTCCGTGATATGTTCCTGGCTTWYTCTGTGGCGATTGATWTAGCTGATAGCACAACTAGCATTTTCTTTTGAGCAGGTGAAGGCAGATAAATATTCAGGAAAGGCCTGGTTGCAAAATAATAGCAGTTCTCCTCACACACCAACATATGATGATGAGGATGCTTCCAACTCTTTGGTAAGCACAAAAGATATCCTTCAATYGTCATGTCTCATCTTTTAAATGTTTATACATATCGATCATTCGATCCTATAAGAAAAGCTTGGGAGTATGGCTTAATTTCTCCTGRAAATAAAAGTTCAGGAAGATGACAAGGAGCGKCCCGATAATTAAAATCATCTGGGASCTAGCTTTACCAGAGCATAGTTATTTATCTACTAGATGCAGAATCACTCATCCAAAATTTATGTAACTCAGGAGTTCAGTGCCTGTGATCCAACATCCCCTGGGAGTCCAGATGACTTTTTGCTGAAGGATGTGAATCCCTGTCTAACACCCTATTATGCAACTAAATCCAAGGTATAACTGCCTATTTCCGCTGTTTATTCAGAGTGTACTCCTAATCAAGCCTGAGTTTAGCGAACTAATGAACTCGGCTCATCCGGACAGGAGTTTGAGGCGATGGGATACGATTCTCCACGAGATGAAATATTATCCCACAACAGAAAGGAATCTGGTTTTGAATCTTGTTCCAGGAAATTGTCCAGAAGTTCTGATTGCAGGCAGAAGTCCAACGAAACAAACACTACAAGAACTGCCCGAAGATCCGATGAAGCCAAATACATGTACGGAAAGCCAATGCATAAGTTTTACTGAACCTCGTCATATTCTTCCAGTTCAGGTTCACATTCTTGATTCTTCTACATAATTATTTGTACCTTGTCACCTATTGTCACTGTATGAACCATAGTTGTTTATGTTGGATCCCGAACCAACCAACTGAAGCTCTGATGCCAACCAGTCTTCTTTTGAGCTTAAGGGAGTAATACTTTGGGTGTACATGCTACATTTAAAAAGCTCATCAATAATAGTAAATAAGAGTCACATGATGGCTGAGGAATTGGCAGTACAAATTACTATTTTACATTCAAGCTTTATCACCAAAGTTTCTTTTCTTAGTTCAAGCGGGAGCGGGGTCGGGGATTTGAACTCCCGACCTTATGATTGATGATATATGCTTTGACCAAGTTGGTAAGCTATATCTCCAAAGTAAAATTTAGAAGGAATGAACTGTTTCCTTTTAGCAACTGAACCAAGAACTAATTGTCATCCAAGAGTGTGCCATTTACAAATATACTATACTACACATGTTTTCTAGAAAACGATTTATGCGCAATTGTACAAGTCGGGAAGGGATTTGTTTGTTAGGTAAATCATTCAGGCTTTAACTTACATTCTACTAAACATGGTACTTACAAAGTAAGTCATGGCATTGAGTGGGCTGCCATACCATACAAAACTGAGTTTCCAGTATCAGGTCTCATGCCATCCCCCCACTTGTTGCAGTTCTAATTATCTGAAACAGGACTGTCACAAGAGGGAAATGAGAAAAAAAAATGTTTATTTCTGATTGTTTATTCTTAATTTCGTTTTTATCTTTTAAGAGTTTGATGGGTAACATTTCTGTTTTTTATTTTCTATTTCTCATTTTTTGTTTTCTTTTTAAATTAAAAAAATAAAATTGTGTTTAGTAACTATTTTCTTACTTTGAAAAAAGATACCATTGTTTGTTGTTTCTCAAATTTTAAATTTTTGAGAATCAATTCTTTAAATTAATTATTTAATTATTTTCTGTATGCTAATATCTATTATGAATTTTGTTAGTAAAAATGATAAAATAATATTTTTATTAAGGGATTTGAAAAAATTGAAAATTTTTTGATTTTGTTCTTTTCAAAATTTCTATATAATATTTTGACCACGTTCTTTTTATATAAAAAATTAGAAACAAAAATAATTATTAAACGTTCATGTTTCTGGAAAATTGAAAATGAAAGATAAGAAACAGAAAAATTGAAACGGAAAGGTGTTTTAAAAATCTGAAGTTCACCCTTAATGTATCAAAACTTCTCAATTATGTCATTTCCTAAAAAAAAAAAAAAGGTTAAGAATTCATTCAACTAGGTTCTTATTAACATATTTGATTTGGAAAAGTATGCAACACAATACTTGCGTAGGTTGAGTGGCAAACTTTTAACGAGAGAGTGAGAGTGGAATTCTGTGTGAAACTCAAAATTTTGATACTAAACCAGAGAAAAACGAGCATGAAGATGAAGCAGGAAGTGGAAACCATGAGAAATTAGAAGAAGAAGAAGAAGAAGAGGAAGAAAGCGTACATGATCCGATAACGACGAAGAGGAAAAACCCTAGAAGAATGGGACCAACGGGGTAGTCGTATCCCTTCTTGGACGAGGCTTGCTCTGGAACTAATCCCCTTTTGCTGATATTCTTCTCGAACTTGGCAACTTTCCTCTCCGCTACACGCTTCGAAGTGGT